CTTTCTTTCTTTCTTTCTTTCTTTCTTTCTTTCTTTCTTTCTTTCTTCTTTTTCTACCAGCAACCTTAACAACCAGTTCTACCGAACTGGCGCGAACTGATAGAATTCCATCCCTGGACCTAATTGTATTCCTGAAGTACTGACATCCAGACACTTAATACAATCTTGCAAAAAAAAATTTTTGCAATGACTTTGAGTATGTTTACTGTGATTTGACTCATTGAGGTGTTGGGGAGAAAGGAAACTCTGCCTTTATATATTCAGTTCTGATGATCGCTAGACTCACAATGAGCAGCAAATGCTTCTTGGATAGTCTTTGCTTTTGATGTAAGGATCTGTCCCAGAAGCAACTTTCCAGCATGACTTCCACAACTGTTTTTGCTGTTATTTCCTTGCAGATACACATAAATGGGAATTTCCTATGGTGTACAGTAGACTAACAGCAGCAGCTGGCAGTGTCACCTAGCAAACTGTTTCATGGGCCACTGCTAGAAGTCAGCTGTTCTGTTGTGTGACTGTCACCTTTCTCTTCCTAAGAATCTGGTATCTGCTATCAGACAGCAATGCAATTAGAGCAGCAGTCTTGAAGAAAATGCAGCAATGTCCCGTTTATTCCCCTCTGCACTGCGGCTTGCTAGTTACGTGCTTGTGCACAGATAACTTGATCACACCAAATTACAGCCTCCATTTGTCCCTGTAAACCGGCATTATCCACCCTTTCAGTCAGTGGCTTCCCTGGTTCTTTGGCAGAAAAACAATCTTGTTTATTAACTGAGACCTGATTTCCTTGAATTCAGGGTGCTGGAGATTAAACTATCATGTACTGGTAGTATATTGTAATCAAGCATACTGATATTCATACAAATGAAGATGTTTCTTCAGCTGAACTCCCATTGTGCGTGTGTGTCTGTGTATACACAGTATACTGTATATCTTGTTTTCTTTTCCACCTTGACAAGCTGGCTGTAACATATGCAAGCATTTAATATTGTAGCCAGTTTGCATAAACCTGATTCTAACAGTTATATGGTATTATCTGCAAAGGAAGATTCAAAGGAAGAAATCTGTAGGAAGCCTCTGCAATTAGTCCTCGACTTACAACCACTTGCTTAGTACTCAAGTTACAATGGCACTGAAAAAAGTGACTTTTGACTGTTGCAACATCCCCATGGTCATGTGATCAAAATTCAAATGCTTGGCAACTAGCTCGTATTTATGACAGTTGCATTATCATGGGCTCATGGGGTCAACCCCTGTGACCTTCTGACAAGCAAAATCAATGGGGAAGCCAGATACACTTAACAACTCTGTTACTTATTTAAAAATGGCAGTGGTTCATATAACAACGGTGACAAGAAAGGTACTAAAATGGGGTTAAACTCTTAACAAATGTCTCGCTTAGGAACCAATTTTGGGCTCAACTGTGGTCATAAGTTGAGGACTACCTGCATGGGGGAAAGTGGAAGGGAGAGTAATGTTTATACAGAATATACAAAAATTAACCCTTCCTTACTTTAGTGGAAAAGTATTGTTACTTTTGTGGCTGTTGCTTGGCTTGAATCAATTTGCATGAAAATTCATGGCTGCTTTATTTCTCGTTCTAGGATTTAAGTATGGCTAAGTTGACAAAGATAACTGATGAGTTAGTTCTGGAGAAGAAAAAGAAAGGAGGATCTTAACTTTCCACTTGCTAGTGCTAAATAATAAGGCAGTAGCTTTTATAATATATGTATATAAAGTGAATTGAAGTCCAAGCCAATAAAACACATTTAGTTCTTCACTGCAATGCACCTAGTGAGCTTCCTCTTGCTTCCTTCTTTGTGATGGTTCTGCTTTTCTCTGGTTATTTCATCTTAGAATTTATGTAATACTTTGTTTAAAATGTTCTTGCTGATAAAAAAAAGTATGTTGATATGCTAAGCTTATCTTTTGCTGACCATTTAATGGGTTCTGTTCCTTTCCCAATTAGATAAGCAGCAACACTCATTGAACATCTGTATATTTTCTACAACTTTTCCTCTACCCATGACTATAACAGAAAATTACAGAGTGGTGGAAAGTCTGAATATGAAGCTCAAAAAGCACCACCTGAATTCTTCTACACTTTCACCTAATTTGAAAATAAGTGGTATAATGACACCGTGAGATATTTTTGGATCTGCAAAATCTGCTGCTGAAGTTTTTAATATATAAATATTGAAGAAGCATATCTCATTCAGTAGAAATACCGTGTTTCTCACATAATAAGGCCGGGCCTTATTTTTTTTTGACCCCCGAAAAAATGGCTAGGACGTCTTTTCGGGGGGTGACTTAATTCTCCCCCCTTGCATCCTCGGGTGGGTGGGCGGGCGGCGACAGCTTGGATATTCGGGAGACCTTCGGGTTCGGGCCACCGTTGCTTTCCCTTCTCCCTTGCTGCCGCGGCATTTGGCGCAGCCACGTGCAGCCAGTCAGGGCTCCTCCCTGCAACCGG